AGAGGAGATTAGAAAACAAAACAAGAATAGAACATCACTTAATGGCTATCAACAGCGAAAATGGATATCACATGTAATAATGACATAATCAAGAAGTTTACTTTCCAAGTTGCTTCAAACAAAAGCTTAGCAAGGAAACCTCCATTAATACTGGAAAAAAAAACATAATTTGCAGTAGACATTTTTTTTTTTCCTGGAAAGATTTTATAAATTCTAACGGAGAGTAAGACTGGAATGCCGAATGTTTCATTATATGGTAATGAATAACATTATTAATACTAATGCGTATACATTTTCACCAGTGACGAAGAAAAAAAACTTTTATCAAATTTTTCGTTGGATTAGACGAAGGTCAGCCTAATGGATGTAAAGAACGTGATGCTAAAAAAAACAAATAATAAATATGAACGACAACTTTTGAAAAAAAAGATTTGGTTGGTTTAAAAAGAGGTTAGCCTCCATATGTGTGTCTGTCGGGAGGTGGCGGGGTATATATATATATATATATATATATATATATATATATATATATATATATATATATACATACATATGTGTGTGTCTATATACACGCACATATATATATATATATATATGTACACGTACATATATGTATATATATGTTCTTGTTTAGACAGCTATATTCACACGGACAAAAGGTTTGTGCACCAACATTTGCATTTGTATAGCAATACATATCTATCTATAGGGTGGGCGGATGAAGGAGGAGATATATTTATTCAATAAATGTCGCGATGCAAGTGAGGCATTTGAATTCTCACTAAAGCTTTGCGATACAAAGAAGACATCTGTTTTCTTTCTATTTTTTATTAATTGTTGTTTTTCTTTATAGTGTTTCCGGTGAATGGCCTAACAAGGGACTTATGGGATTGCGTAACAGGTATCGGCGAAGAAAATAAAATCATAGGCCAAATACAGGTCGACAGGCCAAGTTCAAAATCATACCGAGTCTGTGATATTCATTTTGCACTAACAACAGTGGAAGAAGGGATTGGTAAAATAATAAAGCAGTGCCTTGTTTGGTAAGCAGTCTAGGAGAAATACAACTTTGAATTCAAATTACCACTCTTTCCCAAGAATAGTTATGTCAGTTCGCAGATATTAAAAAAAGAGGAAGTTTATGTCCTAAAATGATCCGTAAAAAAACGAGAAGAAACCAGACTGTTATTTAATATCTACGCCAAATATTTATTTATTGTAGTTCAAATGATTCTTCTTTGTCAATTGTAGATCGTTTCCAATTTGTCAGGCATGATCCCCTTTTCATGGGAGATTAAAATTCGATCAAGTAACAGAGCATTTTTTATTGATTTTTCATGGTTCTTCATGGCACTTGTTTGTTTTGTATCTGTCTATATTTCTGAGATGAGGTATTATGTACATTATTTACAATATTCGGACTATTGTCCTCATCTTTGTTGCCATATTTATCACAACGTTTCACTGACATCCATTAAACATGGCACGTGGAACTAGAACAGTTTATCCCAGTGAGCGAAATAAAGGATTCAGTTCGACATTCCAACCACCTGAAGAAAACCGGAGCGTACAACGGCCGAAAGGTTGTAATAAATATGGCGACAAAGATGAGGACTAATAATGTAAACAATGTTATTGGTCTTTTTTGTTTTTGCTTTTGTTATTGTTTTTCTTTTGTCATTGTTTTTTTTTTTATTATTTTTGTTTTTTCTTTAGTTATTGTTTTTTCTTTTTCTTTTGTTATTTTTTTTGCTTTTCTTTTCGTTATTGTTTTTTCTTTTGTCGTTTTTTGTTTTGTTATTTTTCCTTTGTTATTTTTGTTTTTCTCTTTTGTTATTGTTTTTTCTCTTGTCATTTTTTGTTTTTTATTTTGTTATTATTTTCTGTTTTTTCCTTTTCTTATTGTTTTTGTTTTCGTGTTTATTTTTTGCAAACTTTTCCGATTTGCTAAAAAAGTTCTGAAACTGGAATCTTTCCTTTGGCCTACAAATCTTAAACCTCTTGCTGACTATTCTCTTCTATTAAGTCTGTCATTGGATAATTTTTAACTATGGTAGAACATCTAACTCCTTCACCCTTTACATACATAAAACCCTATTTTAAAACTTCAGAAAAAAGTGCAGTATATTCTGAAGTCGTACTTTCCTTCCTCGTTTGAATATTTTTTTTATTGAGAAACATTGTGGCCAAGTCATTGTAAACTCATGTAAGAAAAGCATGTGTCGCTCTTCAGCTTTTAGCAGAAGTCTGGTCATTATCTAGAAACAAAAAATCTACATAACAATACACTTCATCTGAACCAGTCTTTCAATGGTATCTCTGTGCAATGAGATTAACTTAAAAATAGATTGGTTTCGTTTGGTTTGTTTTACGGTATATCAACCTCAATGGGTTATTTAATGCCGACAATTTTTTTTATTTCTGGTAATATTTTTTTCAAAAAATGTATAACTGGTAATATTTTTTTGTTTTCAAGAATGTATTGCTGGTAATAGGGTATCGCTGATAATAATTTTTTTACAAAGTATTTGTGGTATTAAAACCTATTTACATTTTCATAGTGTTTTAACCCTGGTTTGGGGGTTAACTATTTACCCAGAGCTGGTACCCTTACAGGTGCTACCACCCCGGGTCAGGGTGGACCTGGGAATACCAGCAATTAAGAGGTAGTTCCACGCTCCTCAAAACCTCCTGATCAGAGGTCTTACTGTTGGGCGTAGTTCATTGTCTTATCCGGGACGCGGATGTAGTTTATCGTCTTATCCAGGAGGCGGGTGTAGTTTATCGTCTTATCCAGGACGCGGATGTAGTTTATCGTCTTATCCAGGAGGCGGATGTAGTTTATAGTCTTACCCAGGACGCGGATGTAGTTTATCGTCTTATCCAGGAGGCGGATGTAGTTTATCGTCTTATCCAGGAGGCTGATGTAGTTTATCGTCTTATCCAGGAGGCGGATGTAGTTTATAGTCTTACCCAGGAGGCGGAGATGGTTTATCGTCTTATCAATGACGCAGATGTAGTTTGTAGTCTTACCCAGGATGCGGGTGTAGTTTATAGTCTTACCCAGGACTGCTTAAAAAGAGAAATGTAGAACAACGGTTCTTGAACGTTATTGTCCCATGTTTCCGCACTTCAAAATGTCATTCCCTTTTGTCTGACTCAAAAGCTACATTGTAAAATAGCAGTTTGTTGAAAGATCAATATTATAACGTTTTGAATTTGCCGATCTGTGGGCCTAATTCTTTTCTGAAGGAAGATGAGAGTCACTCTTTGAGAACAACTACTTAAGATTTGGTTTCTTTGTTCCAATATAATTTACCCAGTGCATACAAATTATAATAATTTATTTAGAAATAAGTTTTAATATAATTTTCTTATAAATAATTTCGCTATAATTTAATTAAAAATAAGCACTAATATAATCTATTCATAAATAATTTCTAATATAATTTACTTACAAATAATTTTTTATATAATTTACCTATCTATATTTTTTATATAATTTACTTAGAAATAAGGTTTTACATAATTTACTTACCAATATTTTTTATATAATTTACTTAGAAATAAGTTTTATATAATTTACTTACCAATATCATTTATATAATTTATTTAGAAATGGTATCTCTTGCGAACTAGTGTTTTTATATAATTTATTTATATAATTTACTTAGAAATAAGTTTTTACATAATTTACTTACAAATATTTTTTATATAATTTACTTAGAAATAAGTTTTTACATAATTTACTTACCAATATTTTTATATAATTTACTTAGAAATAAGTTTTTATATAATTTACTTACCAATATTTTTCATATAATTTATTTAGAAATAATTTTTATATAATTTACGTATAAATAAGTTCTAATATAATTTATTCATAAATAGGTTTTAATATAATTTATTTATAAATAACTTTTATTACAATTTACTTAGAAATAATCTTTTTTATAATTTACCCAATGCATATAAAATATATTAATCTATATTAGAAAATCATTCTCATTCGTAGAAATAATACTTTCAGATTTCATAGACATCATTATTCAGCAGTGCTTCAGTACGTTGGCGATCACGGCTCTCCACAATTTCCTGTCCTTTGTAACTCTTAATAAATTTTATCTTGTTATCTCTCCTAAACCTACTTCTGCTATCGATTTACTCAAGCTCTCTGGGTAGGTTATGCGTTTTATACCTCTGTCCCTCTTGCCTTTAATCTGTCCTGTGGGTATCAGATTTTCCAAGCCCTCTTTCCTCATTATATGTCCTAATCTTCTAATCCATGTCCCCAGTTTTTCTATGAAACTCTCATAGTAAGGAGAATCGTTGGAAACCACTGCTTAAAAGGTTTCTAAAGTTGAAATAACAATTTACTCAATGCATGGAACTGATATTCATTTAGAAAATCATTTGCAGCCATTTTAAAAACTTTTCTATTTTATTGATAAGTTTCGCTTGACAATCAATCTAAAATGGGGTCATGCTTGTAATACAGTAATTCTCAACTGTTCATGTCTTATTCTTTTTCACGCTCTGCAACTCTTTGCGTTCTAGTTGCATTGTCGCCTTGCATGGGGTGAAATGATTAAAAAAAGAAGAAAAAAAGGTAGAAAAACTCTGATGTTTTTGTCTTTTTATTTTTATTTCTTGTAACAATTCGAAGTAATCGATCTAAGTTCGTCTCAAACAGCACAGATTGATTTCCGAGATAATGAGTAAATCAATTTGTGTTGCAAACGATGAACCGAGACATAGCCTCAATCAAAGCGGAAGTAGTGAGTGACGGTGGTGGGCGGTCGTCTGGGAAAATTTTCCGGATAATTGATGTCCAACCTGAAATTTGGACCGATTACTTCAGATAAATGAAATCCAGAATTATTAGCTTTCAATTGTAATGAAAACGTTATTAACATAAATAAACAGTTGGTAGCGTCGACAAGAGTTTGTTAAAAAGATAAAATCTGGAGAATGAGTGATTGTTGAAAAGTAAAAATCAGGAGGTAGAAGAAAAAGAAACAAGGGCGGTGTCAAAAAAGAAGAAGTTTTTTTCTTATATTATCAATACTCTTTTTCTTTTCTTCTTTCTCTTCGCTTTATTTTCTTTTTCTTCTTTCTTTTCTATTCTTCCTCTTCTCTTCGCCTTCTTCCACTTCCTCTTCTTTTTTATTCCTCTCTTTTTCCTTCTTCTTCTTCATCATCATCATCTTTTTCTTGTCTTCTTCTTTCTCGTTGCTTTATTTTCTTCTTCCCTTTTTCTCGTCGCCTTCTTACCTTACACCCTTCTTTCTCATTACTGTTCTTTCCTTCCTCTTCCTCTTTCTCTTTCTCTTCGCTTTATTTTCTTTCCCCACTTCTTTCTTTTCCATTTCTCATCCTCTCTTCGTCTTCTTCCACTTCCTCTCTTTTTTCCTTCTTCACCTTCTTCTTTTCCTTTTCTTTCTGTTCGATTTATTTTCTTCTTCATCTTTCTTTTCTCTCTCTCTGCCTTCTTACCTACTTTCTCATTCTTCTTCTTTTTCTTCATCATCATCTTTCTGATTACTCTTCTTTACTTCTTCTTCTTCTTCTTCTTCTTCTTTCTTTTCTCTTCTTCTTCGTTATATTCGCTTTGGTTTCTTCTTCCACTCTTCGCCTTATTCACCATTCCTTTCTTTCTCTTTACGTTCTTTACTTCTTCCACCCCTTTCTCTTTACGTTCTTTACTTCTTCCACCCCTTTCTCTTCGCTTTATTTTCTTCTTCTTCTTCTTCTTCTTCTTCTTCTTCTTCTTCTTCTTCTTCTTCTTCTTCTTCATCTTCCTTCAAATGTGTGGCGCCCAGTGAGACTCAAAGTCATTACAACCGACGCGGTTACCTTGCTAACTAACACTCCACACTAAGTGGCCATAAAATATTTCTAAAAATTAGTACTGAACAACCCTTGCCCCGTGAAGACGATAACATTTGGTATTTCTAAATGACCCACATTCCAATCATCAAATCAATTCTTCGCCCCGCGCCAGAGACGCGTCTGAATCCCACTTTCGTTCGCCATTTAATATGGCTACCCCTGAGTAACGATAGAAATATTCGCTGCGTGTAGCGTGACGGGGTGGCGGTGGGACTACTGGCACGACTGTTGCGCTTATCGACAGCTGCCGTTCAAGTGGCACGCAATTACTTCTATATTGATAATCATTTGTGGTCTTGTGACATTCTGAGATTAAATATATTCATTGTTTCATGGATTATTCCAACTTTTGTCTTAATCTTTGTTTCCATTAACTCATTTCGACCGACACATCTTCGGCCTTCTTTTATTATTTGACCTCTACGATTAAAGATTTTTAGTTCGTAACATTATACTTCACCTTACCTCTTCGTAAACCAACTTTTCGACCGACAAATTCTTCAGCCTTCCTTTATTGGGTGACATTCTGCGATTAAAGATTTTTATTTCGTCTTTTACTTTGACTAGATCCAGTATCTTTGCTCTTCGTAAACCAACTTTTCGACCGACACATTCTTCAGCCTTCCTTTATTATGTAACTCTGTGATTAAATATTTTTATTTCATATATTACTTAAACTAGTGCCTTCATCTTTATTCCCGTTTCGGCTGACAAATTCTTCGGCCTACTTTTGTCATGCGACACTCTGCAATCATTGATTGTTTTTAAATTCGTATAATACCTGGATTAGTGCCTTTATCTCTGTTTAGTTACTTTTTTTGATTGATCACCGTTTTTTGACCACTTCCCGCTAGTCCTTAGTTATCACATACATAGTAAAATCATGAGTCCAAGCGCATAGCATTCTCCTAATCTTACCCACAACGTTATCAAAGCCTTTTCTCTCTACTTTGGTCTACTTTATTACTACGCCATTATTTGTATATTTCTTTGATACGGCCATTTTTTATATGTTTATTTTACGTTTGTATCTATGAAAAATCAATTTCTCCCACATGTTCACCCCTTACAAACTATTACCAAATATAACCTTCGTTTAACTTACAACATTGAAACATATTCCTGTAGAAGACTTTATACATATTAATGTAAACAACGTATCCACGACCTTCCTTTACCCATTTAAACAAATGTTCTTACTTCAGAGTCTTAAGGCTGTTATCCGGCTGTCTTGAGGTACTCACGCGTACAAGACAGATGCGTACCCTGGAGACATAACACACATGTTCAGTCCACAGGATTCTCAGGATCCTTTTCTAGAACCACATTTCTGTTGCTTCGAGTCTTATCGTCCTAATCTTATCCCCAACGTTAGCATCGCCGGTATGTAACTTTTAAAACATTTTCTCTATATATTGGTTTACTTTATGATCATGCTATTATTTGAACATTTGTTCAATTAATTTATTTTCCGTTTGTATCTTACTATCCTAACCCTTTTCTTGACGTGTTCATTGTTAAAACACTGTTCTTGTAACTTTCTTCCTTTCCATGAAGTCATTGTAACATTGAAATGTATTTCTGTAGCAACCAAACTATATACATATTCATGTGAGTAAAGTATTCGCTATATATATCTGTGATACTTATGTGTCATAGGCGATCATGTACATGATCACTGACGAGGCAGATTTTTTTCCCGCAGTAAGTTGCCATTTCTTTCTGCGGTAGACCAGTTGCCACCCGAGGCTATAGAAGCCGGTCTACCCTTCTATTTACCTATAGTTGGGAGCGGGGAGAAGAAGAGGATTTATTATAGATTGCCTAAGCGTGTATCACGCTTAGGCGATCATGTATCTTTCGATACATGACTGACGAGGCAGATTTTTTTTCGTAATGTGGTCATTTTTTTTCTGCGGTAGACCAGTTGCCATCCAAGGCTAAAAGGGAGATTTTATCCGGTCTCTCCTGCTATTTACCCATAGCTGGGAGGGGGAGAAGCTGATTCAGACCTTTCCCAAAGGGTATTAGCTCGTAAGTGAATGTAATGGATTCGACTGAAATTCGAACTCGGCCCTCCGATTCCTCACTCCGCTATCCATTACTCTACCGTGCTTCTCTCTCTCTCTCTCTCTCTCTTCTCCTCCTCCTTCTTCTTCTTCTTCTTATTATTATTATTATTATTATTAAGAAGAAGAAGAAAGAAAGAAAGAAAGAAAGAAAGAAAGAAATCTATTATACTACTTTTATTAAATTCAACCAACAAAATTTATATGTTGATGGTTTTATTTTAATTTTCCAATTTTAAATTAAGTTGTTGGGCATCTAAATAAAAATGATGGATAATTAGCTTAATTTATAAATGAATTCTTGATGCTTACTATTCGGTTTGCACAAAAACTGCTTCTTTTTACTTCCCTTTTTTTCTCCCTTTTTTTCAATTTGGGTCCATTTTTTATAGACTGGTCACCCTTTCTGACTACTTCCGGTTAGCCATGAGTTTTAACCAGAACCCTCACAGTAAAAGTACGCCCCCTAGCTAAGCATGTGGTTTATTCTCTGTGTAGTCGTAGTACAGTTCTCCATGTCCTGATTAACAACCGCGTCTGCTAGGCATAGCCACCATGTTCACCAGTTGTTCTCTATTTATACTTGTCTCTCTAATTTGCATACGATACTACAACCACCCCCCAATGTTACTATCGGCGTTATGTAGCTTTTAAAACCTTTTCTCAATGAATTTGTATTTACTCCCCCCCCCATGTCAGGTTGTGACTCAAGGTCGGTTTAATGTGGGGAATCTTTTTTCTATGAATTGGTATTTTTTTTATTATCATGTTATTTAAATATTTCTTTAATGTTACCATTATTTATACGTTTGTATCATTCTATGTAGAATCTTCCTCCCCCACCACCACGTGTTCGCTGTTCACATATTGATCTTACTTATTGTAAAACGCAGATTGTGTGTGTGTGTGTGTACGTTTATATATTGGATCGGATTTCCTATATTTTTCAACCGATTTCAACAAAACTTCACAGGACTGCGTAAAGTTACCTTGCGGTGGTTCTGACAGCGTCAAAAATTGGAAAAACACAATCAATTTGAAAACACGATATAACACGATTCTGTCGTCAGAATGAAAGGGGGACAACTCATATCGAGTTATACTTATTATAAAACCAAGGTTGTTTGTGTGTATGTGTGTGTGTTCGTTTATATATGGGATCGGATTTCCTATATTTTTCAACCGATTTCAACAAAACTTCACTTTTTTTTGGCAGGTAGTGTTTCTTATTGTCTTGCACACTTTTTTCTTTATTTACATTCAGAATGCTTTAAAAATTCCATTTACAAGACAATTGTTTATAATAAAATTCTATTCAATCGATAGACTCATAACGATTGAAAACAATGTTTTTCTTTGAGTTTGGGTTTGATCAATTCGTAAAACAAAACAAAACAAAAAAAAACTAATGAAGACATGCGTGTCCGTCAACCTTAAACAATAATCTTTGTCAATTTTATTTTTCAGTCTTCATGATGGTCGATACTTGATCTATCTTTTACTTTTACATCCCCGGGCAACGCTGGGCTCTACTGCTAATGTCAAATATAACCTTCATGTAACTTCCTTTCCGTGAACTCACTTCAACATTGAAATGTATTTCTGTAGCAAGCAAATTGTAAAGCGGTCGCTACCTTCCTTTATCCATTTCGATATTTCTAAGTTCAAGCCTCCAGCTGCTTTTGTTATATTCATTGCTATCTTTTTGTTTTACTTGTTTACTAATCAGATTAAACTAGTCTTATATGTGTATTGATTTCTTTATTTCTAGCCTTACTCTTGGCTTTTTAATAAAGCTGCCGATGAACAGGACTTCGTCTTCAGAGTTTTAATTACCTTAAGGCTTTTATCTGGCTGTCTTTAGTCACACGTAGATCCTTGCCTGTCCTCCATTAGAATGTCTGACGCTCAACTTCTCGAGAGCAACTCTCTGCGGCTGCTCAGTCTCACGTTGACGGCTGACCTGAGATGGAACAAAGACATTGAGTCAATTGCTTCGTCCACCGCAAGGAAAGTTGGCTCCCTGTGCCACGCCAGGAAATTTTTCTCCCCGGAATCGATCCTCCAGATCTACAAATCAACAATTCGCCCTTGCATGGAGTATTACTGCCATATATGGTCTGGAGCCCCTTCTGTTTGCCTCGGGGTTCTTGATAGTCTCCAGAGGCGGATATGCAATATAATTGACCCTGCTCTGGCATCTCGTCTACAGTCACTTTCTCACAGACGCGCCGTCGCCTCTCTCTGTCTGTTTTACAAATACTTTCATGGCAATTGCTCCGAGGAGCTGCATTCGCTGGTTCCCAGACTTCATGAGTTCAAGCGCCCTACGAGGCTGGCATCCCGCTCTCACACCTTCACTGTCGAAACTCCTAAATGTAGCCGTCTTTTCTACTCCAATAGCATCATGTCTCGCACCTCCCGCCTGTTGAACTCCCTTCCCTATTCCAGTTTCCCTGTGAGCTATAATCTCCAGCTATTCAAATGTAATGTCAATCGACATCTCCAGTTGCCTTGATCTATCCACTACCCTTCTCCTCATCCTTTCTTCTATCACTCCTATCTGATCAAGCTCCAAATTTTCTGTAACCCCTTGCATCCTAGTGGCTTCCCCCCTTGCTTGGGGTGAAACGCTTAAAAAAAAAATTAGATCGGACGCATACCCTAGAGGCGGAACAAGAATCGTTTATTAGTACCGTAAAACCATTAGCCATATATTTAGATTGTACTTACAAGAGAAACTTAAACCCTTCCCCGCGTTGCAGAATTGTAACCAGCTCTTGCGTTTGTATCTCCCCCTCCCATTTCTTCTAGGTGTCCCTTCAGGCTGTGGCCGATCATGGCTCTCCACAACTTCTTTTCCT